GTCTATCCATTTGTTGATGGGCACTTGGGCTTGTTCCCTCTCTTCCTGTTGTGAATAGTGGTGCAGTAAACAAGGATGTGCATACATGTTTTGGTCACAGCTCTCGTTTCACTATGTTCCTAATAGTGGGAGAGCTTGGTCAAGTGATGTGTCTGATTCCTGTTTTTTGAGAAAATGCCAGACTGCTTTCCATTGACTTGTACTGTTTTACATTCCCACTGGCAGGGTTTAAGAGTGCTAATCTCTCTACATCCTCAGATTAATTTGTAGGTTGTTTTCAATTATATACCTTTTTGGGGAAATTGGGCATGTTCAGTGTCTTTGAAAACCTCTGAAAGTATATTCATATCCTTTCAACTTTATGATTTTGTGATGGACACATGATTGCTTTGTTGTCCTTATATAGGAAACCTCATAATATTCAGATGTAATATAGGGTTTTTCTCATGTTTACATATTTCCATTTAAAAAATAAACTTGTTTTGATGATATTTTTTATCTGCATTCTTCCCTTTGAAATTTTTCAGGACAAATATTGAGGGAAAGGTGGATATTGGAGACTTGACCTGGGAGCAAAGGGAGAAAGTCTTGAGATTGTTGTTTGCAAAAATGAATGGTTTTGTTCCTAGGTAACTACTTATTTTTACAACAAAATGCTTATTTATTATAAAAACTAGAAACTGTGTAAGAACTATGTGCTTATTCTCAGTAGCATGAAACGAATGGGCAAAATCCGGGGGTGGGTGAAGAGTCCTGCGGCTTAGTTACAGCAACACTCTGAGATACAGAATGGAAAATAAGTTGGATAAATGACTAGTCAAAAGAAAAATGAATTGTAATTAAAGACTGAGGAGAAGAGATTAACAGTAGATGATTAATGTCTGTTGGAAAGTTACTACATTGTTCAGTTGAATGAATGGCAACTTAAACAAGTATAGCAATTGTTTAGATTTTTTATTATTGCCATGCAAAGGTAAGTAAATGATTTTTAAGTTGACTATTAGGGGATTTATACTACTATCATATTGTTGTCTCTGTTATGTGCCATTGAGTCAGTTACGATCCAGAGCAGCCCTATGAAAAATGGCTCTGAATTTTGCCCTATCCTGAGTCTATCTCACCACCTCTGACACATCTAATCCCATTGCCACAGTCACTGTGCCACTCCTTCTCATCCAGGGTCTTCCTCTCCTGTGCTGACCCTCTACTCTTCTAAGCATCATGTCCTTCTCAAAGTACTGGTCCCTCCTGGCTACATGACCAAAGTTTGTGAGACAGAGCTTCAGAATCCTTGTCTCCAAGGGCAACTTGGTTTCACCCTCTCCAGGACAGACCTGTTTGTTCTCTTGGAAGTCCATTTTATATTAAGTACTTTTCTTTAGCCCCACAACTCAAAGGCATTGATTCTGCTTCTCTCATCCTTATTAAGTGTTCCGCTCTCAGATGTATAGCAAGCAATTGTGTGAATGAAGGCCATGGCCCTGATCAAATGTACCTTAGTATCTAGACTGATATTGTTGTTATTTAGCACTCTGAAAAGGTCCTTGACAACAGGTCTTCTTTATGCAACTTGTCTTTTGATTTCCTGACTGCTGGTGCCAACAGTGTTCATTGTGGATCCGAGCAAGAGGAAATTGTTAACAACCTCAATCTTTTCTCTATCATGATATTGCCTAGTAGTAATGATTTTTACTTTCTTGGTGTTGCGATACAATCCATATTGGAGGCTGCAGTCCTTGACCTTCTTCAGCAAAGCTGTCATCCTCACTTTCAGCCAGCAATGTTATCTGCATAACACAGATTTTTGATGAATTTTCCTCCAAACACAATGCCACTTTCTTCTTCATAAATTCCATCCCAGTCTCCCAATGACCTGTTCTGCATATAGATTGAAAAGGTATGGAGAAAGGATGCATTCCTAACATACTTCTTTCTTCATTTTGAACCTTCCAGTGTTCCCCTGTTTTGTTCAGATAAACAGGTATAGGTATAGCCTGTAGTGTCAAATGTTTATCACTCAAAATATCTTTCCTGTTTATTTTGTGCTGAAGTGTCTATTGTATTAAGGCAAGAGGATTAGGGTGGGATACAAGTGCCACACTATTAGAGGCCTCAAAGCTAACTCTCTCTTTTTAGGATATACAGCTACACTGCAACTGATAGTCTACAGTACACACCAATCTCTGAAAAACCATCCTGCATATCTATAGTTGTGTAAGTCATTCATCCCTCTGAAGGTCTCTGGGAGATCACTGAACCCAAAGGGCATAGAAGAGTGAGAGAACTGAGCAATGGAGGGACTGTTGATGTTGGAAATAATGGAGTTAGACAGAAAGTTAAGTACTTGGGACACTATTCACTCTGCAATTCTTGTAACTGGTCTGCTGCTAATCTTGTTGTTAGGTGCTGTTGAGTCAAGTACAACTCATAGTGACCCCATGAGAAAAAGATCTGAACCCTGTTCTATCTTGTACTATCTTCACACTTCCTGCTAATCTTAGTAGAAAGAATTATGAATACATAAAGTTTTCACATGAGCAAAATCCAGTGTTCTGGGATTACCATTCTCAATGTTAGGCACAATTTATTGTGAGCCCCATAGACAAATGCATTTGCATAGTTGATAAAACACAAATAGACCTCCTTCTAATACTCTCTGTTTTCAACCAAGATTCATCTGATGTGTGCAATCCTGAAGAAGATGGAGTGAATACACTTAGTCTTTACACCAGAAAGAATTGGTGAACACAAAACCATTTCAGGAAGCAGCATATGATTAAGAACGGAAATAACAAGGTTTCAGGAGTCTTTAGGATACCAATTTACTTGTTTCAACAAATTGATGCAGCCCTAGATTTACTCACTAAGCTATGCCAGAAAACTTGGAGAACAGCTACCTGACCAGCTGATTGGAAGAGATTAATATTTATTCTTATTCACAAAAAGATAATCCAGCAGAATAAGGAAATTACAGAACAATATCATATGCAAGTGAAATCTTGCTGAAGATAACAAAAACAAAAAAAAATGGCTAGAACAGTACATCAAAAGAGAACTGCTAAGGGAGCTCTGGTGGCCTAATGGCAAGAAACTGCATTGCAATCCCAGAGGTGCATGGTTCAAATCCACCAGATGCTCTGCCGGGGAAGGAAGGACAATCTCCTCCAGTACCAGTCAGATCCAATTTGACGGTACACACACAAAAATTTAAAAAAAGAGAACTGCCAGAAATACAGGCTGGATTTAGAGCTGTGGCATGAAGGATATCATTGCTGATGTTAGATGGATCTTGGCAAAAGTAGAGAAAACAGAAGGATGTCTATTTATATTTCATTGACTGTGCAAAGGCTTTTGACAGTGTGGATCATGACAAGTTATGACTGACATTGAGAAGAATGGGAATTCCAGACAAAACCTATACCTAGAGCAAAGGAACACTGCATAGTTTAAAGTCAAGAAGGGTGTGCATCAAGGCTGCATCCTTTCTCCATTCCTAGTCAGTCTGTATGAAGAACAAATAATTCAAGAAGCTGGACTATATGAGGAAAAGTATGGCATCAAGATCAGAGGAAGACTCAACTTGCATCATGAAGAGCATAAAACTTTGCTTGCTGAAAGTGAGGAGGACCTAAAATACTTACTGCAGAAGATAAAAGACTACACTATAGGTTATATCTCTGTATAGACCTCTGATATAGGTTACATCTCAACATCAAGAAAGTAAAAATCCTCACAACTGGGCCACTAGGCAACATCATGATAACTGGAAAATAGATTGCAATTGTCAGTGACTTACCCTTGCTTGGGTCCACAATCAACACCCTTGGCACCAGCAACCAGGAAATCAGAAGATGTATTACATTGGGAAACTAGGCTGTCAAGGACCTCTCCAAGGTGCTGAAGAGCAATGATACAAGTTTGAAGGAAGGTGTACCTGATCCAAACCATAATCTTTCCCATTATTTGCTAGGAAAGTTGGATCATGCATAAGGTTGTTGTTGTTGATTGCTGTAGAGTCAAGCACACCATATAGTGATCCTATGAACAAAAGGCCTGAAGCTTTTCTATAACTATCATAATTTCTCAAAGTTCATAGAGTTTCCAGAGGCATTTGGTTTAGAAAGTGGATGCCACTCCTGCTTCCAAAACGTATAAGGGTAACAGAAGAATTGATGCCTTTGAGCTGTGGTGCTAGAGAAAAGTGCTGAGCATCCCATGAAGTGCCAAAAGGACAAGCATCTTAGATAAGGCGCTCTTCAAGACAAGGATAGCGAATCATCATCTCACATACTTTGGGCATGTTGTTAGGAGGGGCCAATCCTCAGAAAAGCACATGATGCTTGGAAAGGTGGTGGGTCAGGAGGGGAAGACCCTCAATGACATGGATTGACACAATAACTGTAACAGTGGGCTTATGTATGCCAGAGATGGTCAGCATAGCACAGGATAGGACTTCAGTCCCATTGTTCATAGGGTCACTATGAGTTGTAGTTTACTTGATGGCATTTATCAATAACTACAAATTAATAAGAATTAAAAGACATTGTTCTTTATCACAGGTGGTTTGAAATTATTATCTTATAGTTTATTTGGCCAGACAAACCCAAATACAATGAAAAAATTACATGACACAATAAACTATAATTGGAGTTCAGGCTATGGACTATAATGAACCACAGTAGTAAGGGGAGACTTTGTTGAAGTGGTGTGATATTGTGGCTTGCTTTGAATGTTGAGCTCTAGTGGCCTACTGAGTAGAACTGCATGCTAACCCAGAGGACACACCTCCCTGGAAGTTCAAATTCACCAGAAGCTCCTTAGGAGAAGGATGGGCAGTCTCCTACTGTGCATTTTATAGCCTCAGAAATCCTGCTGGTGGGTCACCTACAAGGAGGTTCACACTCAGTGGCAATGAATATATAAATATCTAGCATGAACAAAAAGCCCAGAAGGAGAGTGTTTAGAAGAAATTGTCTGGCTTCAGGAAATTTGGAGTATGCCCAAGAGTATTTAGAAATAGATTACATTTTGATGAACCTTAAAAAGCATACAGAAAAGCCTCAATTTATGCTATTTATGTAGTTCTTAAATTTATATGTACTTCACTCCCCCCTGTTTTGGAAGAATAGAAATATGAATAATACATAATCCTTGAACTAGAAGGAGCCTCAGAGCTGACCTTAACCTAACACAGCGACATAAAAAAAAGAGTTGGGGTGCATCAAAGGTAGTTTGGGTACACAGTAGTGATGGGTTTAGGCAAGTATAGGAGCAGTTAAAAGGAAAAAAAAAAGGTAAAACTTGACAGGCATTTAGAAAAGAGAAGATTTAGTGTTGTTGTTGTTATTATTGTGTACCATCAAGTCAGAACCAAGCCGTAGCTGACCCTCCAGTCAGTTTTCAGAGGCAGTTAATCACATGGAAGGAGATTGCTCATCCTTCAACTGCAGAGCAGCTGGTGGACTTGAACTGCATGGCTTTGGGATTGCAGTGCAGCTTCTTGCCACTAGGCCACCAGTGGTCCCTCTAGAAAAGAAGCTTTAGTGATAGAGGAAAACAACAACAACAGCAACAACAACAACTATGTTTATACCCCAGGATATACAGCCAGCATCCCAGACTTCCAGTT